ATGATGTCCAAATACATCAAGTGAATAAGCCTATAGAGGGTTTCAATAAGTATGCCGCAAATAAATAGGATATCGCTTAGCAAGTGCTGGGTTTTTAACTTTTAAAAGGGTGCTTTCCTGTAGGTAATTTCCACTGCATAATATTATAAATAATAATTTGATTATGCTTTACGATAACTAGCGAAGAACTTTACGATCGTGATTTTATTCCGTAGAATGTTAGTTAATTGGGTGTAATTGAATTCCAGCGATAGTAAGTTATCTGGGAATTTGTCATTTTAGGCTTTACAGTGTAACCCAGAAGAATTAGAATAGCATCTAGTTATCTGATGGCCACAAAGTTGCACACTCGCTATCAACCAATGAATGCAAGCACATCAGTTTGCCTAGCCTGACAAATCATCAAACCAGTTCCGAAGTGAATCACTGAACAGAATTTACCAAACACCGAGGTGTCTCATTAAAAATAGCCTATGTAAACTTATTCTAATTAATCAAATGACCGGTGATTACTGGTATCACCAGCTGTTGATGAAAGTTTCTGCAATAATCTTAGTCTTTCATGTATTTAACTTATGATTAAAGTTTAATAGTAAACCTGAACGGAAATAATATTCGAATCGTGGATCTCCCAGTACATATAAATAAATTTATAAATATAAGTAAGACTTAGAAAAAATGTTCAGGCAACTGATCAAATTCAGTTATGATTTACACATTCCCATCATCACTAAATATCTCCCGTATCTAAGCTGCATATTCTACGTCATTTAACTGCAAAGCTTTGAAAGAGGCAACATAAGACAGGTATTTGAATTAAACAACTCAGGAACTTATCTATTCTAGTTGTCATTTTTCATTTCAATGAAAAGTTTGTATCGAAAGGCAGTGAACAACAAACTTTTTATACCACAGCACCAAAATAAACCCAGAGCTAAAATAAATATATCAAACTGCGCTAACTTAATAGTATTAGCTAAATAAGTAAGTGTCTAGACCACCTATGTATGCTTAAAGTCTTTTATTTTAACGGGTACACATCCAACCAAGCCTGAACGCCATTTTCACTCTTTCTTTCTGCTTGAAGACACTCACATCTTCACAATTCATAGCTCAGCCATTCTAACCAGAAAGGTTCTAAAATCTTCTACCCATATAACCTTAGTGTTTTATTCTATTTAAATATATTGCACATCAAAGCAGATTTCTGAATAACTGAATCATTTTGATTAGCAAATAGATATTAGTTACACACTGAATGAATGTTGTGAATCAATAATGCAATATATGACACTTGAGTTTTTAGTGGTCTGTGAGTGTGAGTAATTACTTAAATGCACATGAGTCAAGTTTAATTCTTTGTACTATAGGGCCCATATTCTGGACTACCCTAGCAACCATCACATGATAAGTACTATCAAGATAGTTCAGTGCTCATATGATTAGTCTAAATGTTAGTGCACTTCATTTGTAGTCGGTCAATAATGTGTAAAAGAATAATTTTCAAGCGCTGAGTTTTAGGGACTGATAATCCGATGAGCTTCATAGGACTGGAATGAGAAGTTGTGACCAGTAGGATCCATTTATGTGGTGTAAGAGCAGACACTAGCCGAGAATTTAAGTTGGCGATGGCACTGTATGTCTCAAATTTGAGAAGTTAGAATTTATGAACCAACTGAATTCCATCCCAATGGTTGTATAGCGAACAGACTCGCCTCATGGCCTGAAGGTCGTGATTTGGATCCCTGGTGAAGTCATGAGTGTATGCTTTTGAAGATTCGAAATCGGGGCGAAACGGCTGTTCAGTTCTCCCTGATTTTCAATGGCTCTCTAGCAAATATCGGTTAGGGACGAAATCTACCTTGAAATAGGTTAGATCCCTCCACTACAAAATTATTTCAAATTTATCATCATACGACACATGCATCTCTTTCAAATTTCTCGTCAACAGATGTCTTTAAATTCAGTCATCACTGAACAAGTGTCTACATTTACTTTTAAAGGTAATCAGTCAGTTATATTTCGATTGTGTTAATTAACCGGTAGTAGATTAGCACTAGAATCATGAGAGTCGGTGACCTCACTTAGGTGTTCCATCGATGATGTTATCAGCAATTATATATATATATATGGTGCTCATCACAGTACAGCTGTTAGAAAACCAGTGTTTTCATAGGACTAAACATCGACCGTGAGCCACTAAGGATTATTATTGGTATGACATTCACTTCAGATTAATGGTTGAAGGTAATCAAGATGAAGGCCTTGGTACTCTTTAAAGGTATTATTTCCCTGAAGGTGGCATATACCTTACGTTGATGAATACAAGTAAGCAAGAAATTGGGGTCCAGGATTTTTGTCAACTGCCTCTTACCATCCAACATTGACTGAAAGCTTACTGTGTTAGTGATCATATTGGAAACCATATGAGGTATAAAGGGTAAACAGGGTGATATTTATTCCTCTATAGTGACTAATTTAAATGTTTGTCTTACAATTTTCCAAGAATAAGAACTTTATCAGTATTTTATAAGTTTAATAATCCATCAAGAAAAACTTTTTTTTTGTAAGATATTCCATTTGCATTATTTTTAGCTGGTGAGTATAATCACGAATAACTATATGGGTTTATCGATTTTCTGTTCAGTTCATACTTCACAATTAAGATTGAAATAATCCACAGTGTCAAGCTTCCCCAAGTTAATGAATCGGTTAGATTTCGTGTAAATGTTATTCATCTGGGAAACCTTGTAAAAATATATGTTTGCATTAGTTTTAAACAATATTTTCCATTTTCCCTCTATTTAATAACCACACTTCTATGTCCTGACGATTAAACATCCACCTCGTTTAATACACATAATAAAAGGTTTAGGAAACGGATTACAATAATAATTGTTGTTAAATGGTTGAATCAATCGATAGCAGACCCTAGACGTAGGTTTATTGCTTGCTGACATCCGTCAGCTGAACGTTTCTACAATCTTGAAGGAAGTATTGGTCACCTTGCAATCTTGACAGACAAAACTCAGTCTAAACCAAAAGAAGTAGTCGATGGATGACACTGGTTACTACCTAGCGTACAATCACATGAAATACTAACTGTTTAAAACTAGGCAGGATACTGGCATTAGGTAGGGCCTAACTGACTAATTAATAGAAGCAGTGCTGAATCGATAGTCGTAACATCGTAAAATAACACAAGGTAGTTGCTAATGTTATGAGCATAGTGCATCAACAAATACAAATGAGAGAAAATCGCTCTGTGAGTTAAACGAAAGCTGACTTAATCTCAAGTTATGAAATATAAAAATACAATGAAGAATAATTCCACTGAAAGGTAGACACATTAGTTACTTAAGAGTTTTAAAAGCGTGTTCTTCGTCTTACCGCTTCCAAAACGTGCTGACAGTGACTTAATTGTTCTTTATTGAGAATAAAAATAAGTATCTTAATTAAATTATGTCAGAAGAAAAGCCCTGTGTAATTACTGGAAAAAAAACAACAGTTAAACTGATAAACTACTGATACTTAGCGACTGTCACCCAAACTATATCGTTTCTAATGGCTACATTTCGTAATATAATTTAGATATAAAATAAGGCAATTTGAAGTATACATAAGAAGACTAGGAGAAATTCACTTTTGGGAAGAGGAACAGTGAAATTTAGACAGAAATAAGAATTCATTAATTTCCAACCATGACAACCACTGACTAATATTGATTCGGAGAAACGGTGCACATAGCATAGCGATTTAAGGAAGTGGTCAGTAATTCCATATTAATTTGGTCATTGCATATATATATATATATGTATAATAAATAAGTTACGTCCCTTCAGTAATCCCTCTCCGTCCGGAGAGATAAACCGTTTTAGGCAGTCACAATGAACCCCATTCTAGTGAATAATCAGGTACGAGAATTAATAAGCGATCTTTTGAGAATTTCGAAGACAATTTGATAAATTCACTGTATTACAGAGACTTTCCAACGAATTCAGTTGAGTTAAATCCAATCTTCAATTTTCTATCTAAAATCCTGTTCGTCTTAGGGATTTGTTTGACGGAAGGCCAGCTGCGTCCATATGACTCACTCATGGTAACAATCGAAGGAACATATATGTTAAGGTTGGATCAATAAATCAGTGGATCGATAACAGAGTATTTAATGATACGATTTCAGTAGCTTATCTTCCAGATATTATATTCATATTTATATGTGCCTAGTAAATAAACAATGAGAATTTTTATTAGTGAGCATGGCAGATGAATAACTCAAGTTCAGACTAGTGACTGTCTTATTAATATAAGTATAAAACTTGGGCACTGTGGTAGAGTATAACTCCATTATAGATAAGATTTTATTTTGATAAATCACACAGTTTCGAGCACAAACTATTGCCACTCATAATTATATCAAGTATCAACTTGATATGATTATGAGTGGCAATAGTTTGTGCTCGAAATGTCATCAGTTAATATTACTGTACAACACTGTGTGATTTATCAAAATAATGACTGTCTTTTTTTGTCTCTCCCTGACCATAATTCTCCTTCCATATATTCATCGTATTGTTTGTGACTTTTCCTAAGGATATACAAATGTGACAACTGGTATCATTTTTAGGAAAGCAAATTCCTACTCGAATGATATTCTGGAGATACTAGTCATCTGTTTAATTTCGAGGCAACTGCCTACAGTGGTAATCACTGCAAAACATTCAACAAGATTCTTGTATTATCTTATTGAGTGTAGATTTGAAAGTAAACCCTTGGCAAAGCCAGCGTTGAATTTCAGCCTATTGTGTATTGCGGATGGAAAAGATGTGACCGATCTACTATTTGTAGGCATAGTAAGTGTTTCTCATTGTCAAGTAATTTTTATGTGTTGTTGTTTTGAGTGATATATGAAAATAAGCCTAATACTGACCAACAAACACTGGGGAAAAATGGATAATCAAATAAAGATGGTGAAACCAACTTAAAATAAATACACTTACTAATACACCATCCAATGTATAAATTTTATGTATAGGAATTCGGAATAATTCACTTAATTCTTGCAACACTTGGTCAAGTTTTTTAATGTATCTTCGTCTAACTAACACAGGTTTGTATATACGTGGTTGTCCATTCAAGCGAACATAAATACGTTTAACTTGTTTTAATTGTCTCCATGTGGTGGTTTCATCGGAGTCAACAATAAGCGTATCAAGTGTTGGCAGATAAACACAATTTGTTGTTTTGTTGAATTTATTACTGTTAGTAGTGTCAGTGGTGGTATACCTATTCAAAAGATTATTTAAATCTAGCTTTGAAGGAGTTAGTGAATAACTGGGTAGAACTAGTCTACTATAAGACGTTGATGTAGAAAGTGATGAAGGCTTATAGTCAATGGTCCGGTTGGCTTTATTAGTTGTTTTACGATCCAGTGATATACCTCTTGATTTCGTTGGATAGTCAGAGTATGCATAGTAACTGTTACTTTGTATATCATTCATTGACTTAAATTTACTCATCACTTGTGGTGCATACATTTTTTGTTCATTACAGGTAACCGTTGACACTGTTGTAGTTAATTCTTCTAGAAGTGCCTCCAAACTTCGATAGTGATTTGGTTGAATGGCTAAGCGTATACCACTGCTTCGATTGTCCAAATCATTATCCTGGTAAACATAAGCTGTTTTTACGATTGGTAATATTCCGTGCTGTGGACAGTAAGCAGTTCCGAGTGAACTTGAAGGTTTGTTCTTCAATTCATTCACCTTAACATTTCGACCGGTCGTACTACTACTACTACTGTTATTGGCATTATTGCGGCAGGGTAAATAAGATGATGGATGGGAATTTGATTTATTGTGCTTTGTGATATTACTGGTGAGAATATCGCTAGGATTGTTAGACAAAATATCCTTGTTTTTGTTATTCATGATAAATTCCTGTATTACTTTTGATGATTTAATATGACAAATAGTAAAATGTAATGATAATCATTGAAAATAACAAAAAAAAATATCAAGAAATATATGCATAAATATAAATTGTGTTATTTGACGTTTCCAGTCAATCTATGAGTTTTAACAGTTCTTCTCTAGTGTATAATCCCATTACTATTGTGAGAACAAAGCAGATTATGTTCTGTGAGCAGTCTATTTATCATGCCTCTGTACTTAGAAAACACACTTATCCTAATGATCGATTACAATTTGATGTTTATATGCTTAAGGTGAAAAGTTTATGAGGATGAAACTGTTTGGAAACTGTTTAATCTGGATATATATATATATATATATATAACCCCTTTCGAAACCCTACAAAACTCATGTTATTTGCATGTGTACATACACATACAGCATGTGTGATTATTTCGATGTACTCACTTGTAAAATTTTGATTGGAGAATAGCTTTTCATATCCCATTATAGGCATATTTGTTTAGGCATTGTCGTGATAATTTTTGTTTCTCTTTTTGAGCAGCAGTGTTTACGAATACGTTGCATAGCAACCATAAATGATTCTTTAACGAGATCTCTTTATTCAATTGTCACATATACAGACATAAATGATTTAGTGATACATGGTGGGTGAAATATTTCTGTTGATAAGGGCCTAGATGGAGACATTTCGCCCTGCATTACAGATGGGCAGTTGTAAATAATAATGCATCTCTTCAGCGTTTGAAGTTTTTACTAGGCAAGGTATTTATGGTGTTTCAGTGCTAAAGAAAAAAAACGACATAATTTTTCAGAACATGTACATGTAAACTGCCACAAGAAATAATCAAAGCTACTGTTAACACACGATATGTAACTCATTTAACTAGATGTAATTTTTGTTGTGTATTTGATTGGTGACGCGCCTTATGAAGACAAATTAAGCTATTTTAGGCTTTCCAGACAAATAATAAAGTTTTGTTTAACCCTAACTGTCAAATCCACTGCGAACATTCAACTTCAAACACGTAAATCAGACTTCCATTTTAGTGTATAACAATGGCATTTTTTTTATTTTGGGGTACAGTTATCTGACACTAGCCGTACTCAACTAAGCAATCTAACTTATTTCGTATGTGATCTCAACATAGAAATACTTCTTTCATGTGCATCGTGGTCCATATCACTGGTCACTTCCTATTAGCTCTTCAAGAATTATTATTATTGTTTCCTTCAATTCCTAGAGGAACATAGGGCTTCAGCTGCACGTCTCCACTGCGTTCGGTCCTCTGGATTTTCAACGCAAATGTGAAGTCAGTCAGTGTTGCTATACGGATCAGAGACTTGGTGCGTCATAAAGAGCATCTCAAACAAACTACAGACCTTCATTAACAGCTGTCTTTGCTCAATACTCAAGATCAGATGGTCAGAAAAGATCAGCAACAGGGATATCTGGAAATGGGCGAACCAACCCAGCAGGAACCGATTGTGAAACAAATATGCAGGAAGAAATGGAGATGGATTGGCTGGCCATACTCTGATAAAACCATCAAGTCACATCACTAGACAAGCAATCGCTCGAGTGGAACCCGAAAGGGAAGCGGTGAGTTGAAAAACTACTTATACATATTCCAGTAGTGAGTAATAAGATCTGTGCTTTGAAGTATCCGTAACGATGGAGTTTGTCTTTTGCTTAGAGCCGCTACCAGCTCTTTTTACAGGTTTGAGATCGGGTTGTCACTCATACTAGCTGTAAAAATTGGTGTACAGGGGAATTTTTTAGTTTCAATGACTTTTATGATGATTTTACTTGGAAGAAGATCTGAGATGCCAGCCGACATTAAACAAATCATCTGCAGTGTTGGAGATTATATATTTGCGTGAATAAAATTTAAAATTGGTACAACAGATACATTCCATGATTCTCTCGTTTTTTTTTATCGAAATCGATGTGAATTAATAAGGAAATGCAGCTGACCGACAGATAATAGCTTTTTGGAGTCAACATTGAGACTTTCCAGCCTATTTTTCAAATAAATTGAATTAGGGGATCAGTATGCAGCAAATGCTAGCCTACTCTTTCAAAAAGCGTGATGGATGAAGTGATAACATCGAGAGAGAAAACTGAGTAGATATAGATGCCAGAAAGCACAGAATGCTGCATAAACATACTTCCCTGCCAATTAACTGAAATTGAAACAAAATAAACTGCCCTTCCTGATACTCAAGTTACTAATCATGCCGCACACCTATTACTGAATAGCAACCTGATTTACTGTAGCATCATCAATCCACATACAAATAATTTTCGTTATCTCTTATCACCTCTATAATTAATTATTCCATTTAGGAGGAATCCGCACAATCATAGGGACTTTCAAGTATCAGCATCGTAAGACGAAATGATACATCAGAACATTCTGTTTTGTTCAATAATTTCTCTACCTTGAGGCCTACATATTCTTTAAAAATTATTTCATCATCAGTATTTTTCCCGCTGGTTTCAAAGCTTTTAGTCATTTTTCAAAAAGAGCTACTTTTTTCCTCCCGATGACCTTTATCATCTGTTTCTAGTTTTCAACTCTGCTGTCAGATGTACTTCTACTATACCACACTGATAAATCAAGACTCTTCATCTAACCTAAGGATAAAGGTTTTCTTCAGGATTCATGTCATCACTGAAAGACACTTCCAATAAAGCGAGAAACTATCTGATACCTCTTGCTGATAATATTTTGAAAGATTTCCAAACTTCATAATAATTGAGGTAGATAACTCAGTTCTATTTATCATAAAGGTCTTAATCGAAACTTTCAAATAAATATCTTCTGATAAATAACAGTTTGTAGAAATTATAATAATCTAGTTGATTCTATAACTTTCTATTAAAAGTAAAACGTTTCTAAGTAACCATCACCATTTTCTTGCCGTGTATTTCCTGAATTAGTAAAAATATCATCTATAGGTGCATGCATAGTGCCTTCATCCTGATGACTGCAGACGGATATAACAGGCTTTACTACTCACAAGATAACCATTCACTCTCAGTGTTCACCCTGTGATTAGATGACAGCTTTGTAGTTTTGACGACTCACCTTATTCAAACTATCGAGGTTGTCTTCAACGTCTGGTCAGAAAACAACTGTAAGTTTCTTAATTACATTGTATCAGTTAATCCTCTCTAAAAGGTGAGAATTCGGGTCACCCACCACCCCGATAATTACTGTGATGCATTTGTATTTAGATGTTAAATTGATCAGTTGGTAAGATGCTTGTAGTTGTTGTCATTCATCGATCAGGCGAATGTGAAAACTTAAGGAAAGTTATTTTGCCTCTGTCCTAAGTCCTAATAGCCGGCATATCAACAATAAATACAAAAGTTACCTAAAAAGTAACACCCTTTATTGTGAAATCACATTTTCCATTAACGTGAGCGGTCGAAATGATTATAGGTTATAACTGCTCATTTCAGTTAACATAGTTCATTAATATTCTTAGTTAATGAAACCAAAAATATCACTTTTCTTACAAACTGGTCTTTACACTTTATTTGAGTGGTAAGTTTATCCTCCGAAAGTAACTCAAATAAAATATGACTTTAACTAAAGTGGACTAAAGGTGCCATGTCACGGAACACTTGAAAACGGGTTAAGATATTCCCTTGAAGACGGCAAAATCCCACTTGAAATCAGTTGGCATTAGTGACAGGATGGAGATCTTGTAACCCTAGTGAGAAGGTGTGACCACAAGAGTTCATTAAATCGAGTGTAGAGAAAGATACTTGTCAATAAAATTGGCCGGCTGTCGAGCTATATATAGCGAATCGGCAAAAGTTATAGTTTGCAATTAGTTTTTTTTCTCTGAACTGGTTGGTTTAGTTGCGGAGCTTTCGTCGTCCCTCTGAACAACATCTTCAGATTAATTTTTAGCATAAAGTGAACTGATTTAAATTTTCCAAGAGTGATGGAGTTGTGTCTCCTGGTAACCACCTTTAGATATGTATTGATCATTTTTCTATTGACTTGGATTTTAAACTTTCCCTTCACATTATAGATAAGATTTTATTTTGATAAATCACACAGTGTTATACAGTAATATTAACTGATGACGTTTCGAGCACAAACTATTGCACAAGTTTCTCGTCACATGATTTACTTTTTATTAATTAGTAGATTCGGTCTATATTGGCATATCTGTTAATTGCATATTCGTTTGAGTACCAGGCTTCTAAGAATTCTCTGGCACTTTTGGTGTTTCCTCTGTTTAAAAATTTCGACACTATCCGACACTGATATCCATTACTATCTACATGCATTGATATTATATATATATATATATATATATATATATATATATATATATATCATATATATATATATATATATATCATGTCTTTTCACAGCTAATTTGTGTTCCTGAGTTCTGAATCGAAGGGACGCCCAGTCTTGTGGATGTAATGTCTGTTAAAGTTCGTGCAATTTATTTTGTAAATGATATTAATTTTATCTTTTTTCATTGTTGGATTTTTCGGTTTGTACAAGATAGAATTAAGTGATTGGACTGGCTTGTGTGCTATATCAGTGTTCTAGCTGTTATTTCAGAGAACACTACTAATTGCAAATCATCCATCTGAGGTACAAATCTCTCTGTTTCATTGAATCTCAAGCACACCTCAATAACTTGAAAGGCGTGATCCTAGAGGAGTCATGCGTGTGTAAGATTGAAGATTAAGAGACTAGGATCAAACAGCTGTCTAGTACTTTCAAGTTTTCAGTGTTTCACTAACTGAAGCCAGTTCGTGAACTGACCTGAAATCAAGCGAACAAAGCCTTACAGACCAAAACTTGAAGATTATATTATACTGATAAAACAAGAGTTGAAAACGGTCATTCGTTTACTATCATTTTCTTTCTTGAAAATCATCCGTCAGTCTTCTAATCATTAAGGTAATTGGACATAATAAGCATTCAGTAAAACATTTAATGATCTAAAATTTACATTATTATTATTATTATTATTATTATTATTATTATTATTGTATCCTTTAATTCCTAGAGGAACATAGGGCTTCAGCTGCGCACTTCCATTGCCTTCGGTTTTCTGCCAACCTTTTCACCCCTCTTCAAGTCTGTCCACATGCTTTCATCTCCTCTTCACATGACCTCCTTCAAGTCACCCTTGCACCGACGACCAACTCGCCGCTTCCCTTTCGGCCTGGTTCCACTCGAGCGATTGCTTGTCTAGTGATGTCGCTTGATGGCTTCCTCAGAGTATGGCCAGCCAATCCATCTCCATTTCTTCCTGCCCATTTGTTTCACTAT